TTTTTCTTAGTCTGAATTGTTCCTCTACCTCCTCTGCTTTGTCCTTCATATTTCTATCAGTATCCCTGTTTCTAATTCTTGTGGGTATTAACTAGGTACTTCATCACTCACAAAAATGTCCCTGTGACTACAGGTTATGTACGCCTCTCTCCCTAAGAGGAAATCCCTGGTCAGGATAACTTGGTCAGTCTTTCCAAAGTCATGGCTCTGATGGAAACAAGCCATATAAAAGTCTAGCAGGCCCAGACAGAGGGCTTGGGGTTTCAGATACTTGGCTCAGCCCCAGGAGCAGTGACTTAGGCTATTGCTCCACCAGAGGAAGAGCTCTGGACATTCAGGTAATTATGACTTTTGCTCCCAGAAGGCCACAAATGACTGAAATCAGTGGCACTGAGAATAAGAGAGAAAAACTCAGAAACTGTTCATTTATGCAACAAGAGAAAAAGGGCAGGTAGGACAGTAATTCATATTCTGGAGCCACCATGAAGTCAGTTAATCAGGAACCCAGCACAGAAACAGGTTTGAGGAGAGTGGAGAAGCCAACAGTGTTAAAAAAAAGATGAGCTTCCTTCCTTCCCACATGCTTGTGTTGTTATGCAACATGCCTTTTGAGTTATCTATCCAACACTGAGCTTTTTACTCAGGTCTATCCACATGTCCTAGCTCAAACTGCCTTGTGACACATTATATATATATATGTATATACATCTTTCTCTCTCTCTCTCTCTCTATATATCTATATGTCTGTGCACCATGTGCAATTCCCAATCCTCTCAACCCCACCACTTACTCCAGCCACTGTTGCTATGACCAGTTCACACAGGCTTTGCCCAGCTTTACTGAAGTGCAGCCTGACAGTGCCTCAGCCCGGGCCTACAATGTATTATCTCCTGCTTTCTACCCAAGGAACAGAACCTATTTGGGACTCATGCATGTGCAACCTAGAAATGTGGGGAGCTGCCAAATTGCAGGGCTGCCTTTGATGAATGGGGAATGGGGAATGGGGGCCAACAGATAAATGCCTCCTCCTTTTATCCATGGTGCAGATGGTTTTGAGATACATTTCATAAGCTTCCTCAGAGGTTCTGGCTGATGGAGCAGTGCCCTTGGCAGTGGCCAACCTGATAATGCATCCTTGTATTGGGTCTCCCCCCTTCCCTGTTTCCTCCCTCTATCCTTTACTCCTGCTCCCTGGAATGTTGTTCCCAAAGAAACTACCTAACTGCACAGAAGCGCTGGTCTCAGGCTCTGCTTCCAGGGCAACCCAGGCCCTGAGCCAGAAGGCTGGCTCAGTCCACAGTCAACTAATAGAGTGAAGGTTCTAGCACACAGGGATTAGAGCTTTGCCTTAGAGGCTAATCACAAACCACTGCTAGCATTAGCCCAAGTTGACAGTGAAAAGTCGGTGCTGGTGTGACATGGCTTACCAAATTGTAGAAATAAAGGTTGTGGGCAGTTGCTATTATTAAAAAAAATCATTTTATTTATTAAAACATCTTCATTTCCCAAGGCACTTCAGTAGCTTTCACAGAAATATGGTTTTTAACCAGGTGAAACATATGCTTTAGAAGTTCCATGGTAACATAATCAGAAAAGAGAAGACAATTACACTGAACAGAAATTATCTCCCAAGGTTACACAACTGAAGTGAGCAACTCTGAAAGACTCTGAACACAATTTTTCTTCTTTGTAATTTTTTCTCATGATTAGGTATCACAAAGGAACACACACAATGACATCATTTTTGGCACCCAGAGAAGTGCTAGTGGCTAAGGCCTTGCACAAGTGGCAACTACAGACCATTGCCAGAGTGATTCTGGGTTGGAAAAAAAAAAAAAGACACAAACCAGGAAGCTAAGGAACCAGCCTTTCCTAAGTCTATTCTGAAGGGCAAATAACTTAGGGAGAAAAAGACACAACAAACAGACAAACAAAATCCCTATTATAGTTTTGAGAGAAGAGACAAGTTTGCTTATCTCCTTCTCACGGACACATTTCCTGCAAACCATACATCAGAAACCATAGTAGCTAGGAGGTTTGATTTACACAGCAGTGGAAAACAAGAATAGTAGATTCCATTATGCATCTCTTATGGGTCTGGACAAACCCAAAGCTTTGAACAGATGTAAACAAGTCTACCCAGTAGTCATACTGAGCGTCCAAAAGCTCACAAATCAATGCACTTGCCAGTGTTCTGTATCTCCTCAGTCTCCTCCCTATCAATGACCTTTAGTGGTTTCCCCAGACCTGTGCTCTCCTGCCCTGGGGAAGCAACAATCCCAGCTAATATCCTTTGTAACTGAGAAAGTGTAAGAAATCAGACTCCCTGTGAAATTATTTCTTTTCCTCTAAAGTGCACCATTAGAGGGAAATGGGGAAAAAATTTGGGGTGGGGGGATTAGATCCAGTTTCATCAGGGGCCTTTTCAGGCAGTCTGAAATTAAAATGTAAATTTAGCAGATGCCTCTCATATTCTTCTAAATCCCACTGCTTCTAGTAAATAGTTAACTTCTAAGGACGCGCCAAGTCCATCACTGCAATAGTTAGGACTTATCTAAAGTTGTCTGTCGGTAGTCACGGTGTCCCTGGAGGGAGGGTGGCACTCTAGGATCATATGCTGCCTCTGAGTCGGGTGTCCATCCACGAGCAAGTCAGACATGGAGTCAAGAAGAATGAACAGCAAAGACCTTTGCCACTGAGGGACTCAATGTCTGTACAAGCCGTTTCCGACAAGATGCAGTCTTTCCTCTTCACTTTCTCACTTACTAGAGGTTCTATTAGAAGGCTGTGCTTTTAAGGATTGTGGGGCTTTCTTCACCATCTTTTAACATCCTCGTGTGGCTTGGAGTTTGCCTATATTTCATTCTATAAAAACAAGAAAAACAAATGTTAGTAATAAATCATAAAAAGATGTCTACCAGTCTCAAAACAAACAAACAAAACCCAGAACTGGGGATATCTCACGAAGGGGAAAAAAATCATAGAGCAGACTCTACAAGGTTTCTCTTAGTCTCTGCACTATTCCAGAACTGCCACTGCTATGGAGATCTGCATGGTGACATGGTCTGGGCCGGACCAGAGAGGATTGGCTGTAAGCACCTTGCCATTTCTAACCCTCTGATGGATAAACTAGTCCATGGTGTTTCACAGTTTCTGGGGAACTCTCTGCGAGGCCCAGACCCAGTGCATCAACACTGTGCAGAAGGAGGCCTCCTTACCCTTTGACCCTTAGCATCTGGTCGATGGTGTCTGGGAGGGGGGTGCCGAAGCTCTCTGGGAGGAACAAGGTGAGAATGGCTGTCAGGATGGTCAGACTTCCCATGAGAATGTAGGGTAGGAAGCGGTCATAGGCACCTAGAGTGAAGCAGACAGAGTCCCAAGCTGGGGATGCAGTTAGACTTGGTCTCCCTCCCTCCCTTTGTGCTCCAGGACTCTCAAGGGGATCACCTGCCTCCTTGGCCCCAGAATCTCCCAGTCTAATAAGCTGCCAGATTGGAATCTGGCACCTAGACAGGTCTCAGAACCCAGAGTTGGCACAGACATGCCAAGAGGTCCAGCAGTGCCACCCAGTGCAGGGGAGGTGTGCTGATGGGGAGGAGGGGCTGAGCCATGATTACTATTCCTATTTTCCAGTGCTGGGTTTCCAGGGAACTCAAGGTAGTCATCCAGGAACAGAAATAACTCCTCTGCCTCTCCAGATGTGTCAGAACCTGCTCGATTTGCCCACTTGAAGGCCAGATAAGAAGGTGTTTCTGCTTATCAGATGTGTATAGCATGTTTGCAAAGCACTCTGGGTACTCTCAAGGTGTGTGTCACCCCTCCCCCAAGATGTGCTGGCTAGAGATGTGCAGGGGAACAGCAGCTGCCATGAGGAAATATTTTGGGGAAGAGAAAATTCGTGCCCTGTTACATAAAAGGGCACAAGGCAGATCCACTGCGTAAAGTGCTCCCAGTTACAATCATTCTCAGTTCATCAGACCTCTTCAATGGACATCTTTCCCTTCATGTTCCTTTTAAACTCTAATTCCAAGAAGAAACTTCTCCAATTAAGTACATTGGCTCCCTAAACCACTCTGCAGTTTCTTAGGATAAGGGAATTGATTTCTCTGATGGAAGGCCTGGCATAGCTAAAACAGAAACAAATCTGTCTACTCTCCTCATCAATTTCTAGAGAGTGCACAGGTTGTTTTCCGTTTATAAGTGTGCCTCCCCCACAGTGCACCTGGACAAGATCGTTCTCCAGGCATAGATCCAGTACTGGATGGATCACCATTTGCTGTGTGTGCTTGTTTTCCTGTTAACAAGCCATCCCCAGCTCACATTAAAGCCAATCAGCGCTTCCACCCATCACTCCTGCATGCCCTCAGCCACGGGACTTACCAAGGTAAACGAAGTAGGGAGACAGGATGCTGCCCAGGCGGGACGCCATGGAGCTGACTCCCACACCCATGTTTCTGACCACTGTGGGGTACAGCTCAGCTGTGTACACGTAGACCATGGAAAAGGCAGCAGTGATTCCAAACTTGCCCACCATCACGAGGACCGTAGCCAAATAATACAACTCTGGAGAGGCAAAGGGAAGACAGTAGGAGAAGGCACCAACCCAAGGTACTCTGCTGATGAGAGTTCTGTTTCTTTTTTGCCTGAAACAATCCTACTCTCTTCTTTTTGGGGAGGGAGGAGGGCAGTTTCTATAAGTTCCTACTGTGAGATAAGGGGCCATGGCCAACATGTCCCTCCAAGTTGATTACTGAGAGGAGGTTGGGACCTGCAGCTGTGTGAGAACACGCTCTTCTCGTCAGCCTAAAGACCAGCAGAGTGAGCCCCTCAATAGCCCAAATAAACCTGCTTTCCAGTCTAGAAGTCATTATACATATGTCTGTCAAGGGGTCAGCGGGCACCCGAGAACCTCATGTTGTAGGCACTGTGGAATCAACTAATGACTTGCGGATGAGTGGGGAGTTCAGTTCTAACTCATTTCATGCTTTCATTCTATTCAGACCTCCACTATTCACAGACCGCAGATGCTCAGGACCGATCCTCTGATCTTTCCTGCTTGCTGTGCCCATGAAGAGATGCTATGAATGGCCTGTGGATCATCCTGAGCACTAGTGTGAACCTCTGAATACATTCCTGGGCTCCCCTGCCATGCCGCAGTGGGGGCTATTCCTGTGCAGTGTTGCCAGTCTCAAGAGCCCACAAATGATCACCAGAAGCCCCCAAATCCAGGGGCACACAGACAACTCTGGGTACCATGATGGACACATGAAGGTCCATAAACTGTTCCATGAATTGTCCAAAAGGGCTGCCTTCCACCCATGTGTGGGATACCAAGAGATTTTAAAGATAAAATCCTGCTAATGGCCCATGAGACCCACTCTGTGACCTGGCCCCTCCCTTCTCCCTGTCTTCATCTCTTACCAGCTCCCTCTTTCCCCTCAAACGTGCCAGGCTCATTCCCTCCTCAAGGTCGTTGCCTTTGGTTTCTTCAGCCTGAAGTGTTCTGCTCCTAGACTTCTTCATGGCTTTCTCCATCATTTCAACTACATTTCTGCTCAACTGCCCCCTTCAGGTACACTGTCCGTGACCACTCTCTAAACTAGCTCTCCACTGTCTTTTATGGTCATTATAAAAGGTATAATGAATGTTTGGACTATATTGAATGTTTTATTTACTTGTTTGTTGTCTGTCTTTTCAACTAGAGTGTGAGCTCCAGGAGGGCTGGGGCCTGCCTGACTCCTTTACTTCTGCCTCATTAGCCCCAAGCACAGTGCTGAGCCCACAGCAGGCACAGCGTAGCTACTTGTTGAATAAGCAAATGACTAAGACAGGGCCAGGTTAAAAAGTAATAGGGCTGGCTCTCTTTCCTCCTCCTTATAATTGCTCTCCCCAGACCCTCAAAGCCCCAGGCCATGATGAGATCTGGTCCCAGAAAACACTTGCTCTTGATTTTTTGGCCAAAAATAGAGATGTGCAGGTGAACTGTGATGGTGTGATTTTATTCTCTCTCTTAACTGGGGGAGAGAGCCTGGAGGAGACTGAGTGACTCAACGAAGACCCCAGACTGCAGATGCACATGGTCCCTACCTGGGGGTACCAGCTGCACGAAGAGAAGAACGCCGCCGCCCAAGAAGAGGGCAGTGGCCATGGAATAGCGCCGGGGCAGATACCGCAGCAGCAGCCAGGCCAACACATACGCTGGGACTTCGACCACTGCCGAAAGGAAGCAGTTCACGTAGACGTCCCCATGCAAGTTAGGAGTGTCAAGGGAAAGCCCGAAATAGCCCACGGATATGGTCAGCCTGAAAGAGAATGCGGGGGAAAGCTGGAGAAGCAGCATCCACGTGCCTCCCAACCTGGACAACTTTTAAAATACAACTGTTGCAGGAAATTCAGAACTATCCTTCCCAGGAGGGCAGCAGATTTAACCCTGAGTCTTACTTCTTAGAACAAAAGAGAACCTCCCCCAGCCCACTGTAAACTCTGGGCTGGAGCACTTTCAAAGCATTTCAAACAGAAAGAGTCCCAGCAAAAAGGCTTATATAATTCAGATAGACTTTGCTGGAAAAAAACCACCACCACCACAACTCTAACCTGCCTTTCAGCTTTAAAAATCCTAACCTGAAACACTTACAAACGCCTACTTTCCTACTCTCTGAACCTCCCCAAATCCAGCAATTGCAGAAGGAGCTGGGGAATGAGTAAGGAGGCAGGTATCAAGTGGGCTGTGATAGGACTGGAGGGATAAGATAAAATAAGGAACAGTCATTATATCAAGCATTTGGAGAAAGCCCCCTAGCAGACCCTCTGTGGTGTCCAGCCAGGAAGAGGCTGGCCAGAGGCAGCTGACCCCAACCCCGCTGTGCTCAGGGAGAGGAAAGGGAGCTCCCAATGGCAGGGATACATCATCTCTCATCTGCACGCACCCCAGTATCCCTGGTCTGGACCCTGTCCCCAGCAGGCACACTCTCTGTTGATGAGCAATGCTCTTGGGCAAACAGGGCTTTTATGGATTAGACTGTTGTTGACTCATCCGCAGGCTGAAACCACAGCTGGTATAATCAGGGGAAAGGGCATGTGCAAGAGTCCCTGGGAAATCCAGAGCAGGAGGAGCACCTGGGTGAACCATGAAACGGGTGACTCATTGCAGGCTGGCAAGTCTGTGGCGAGGGCGGCACGCTGGTCCTGTGTGAGGCCAACTCAGGGGAGTGCACTGCCCTGAGGGATCCTGGGCCATTCCTTGGAAATGGGTGACTCATAGTACCCCCAGCAAGCAAAATGGTTGGCTGCCCCAAGGCTGGCTGACTGTAGCAGTAAGGACTCCGAGATGAAGTCTGCCTTTCTTACCCAGCAGCCTCAGGTAGTTGCCTTAATCCCAAGGGTCTGGCCACTGAGCAAACACTATCCAGGCACTCAGATGTGTTCCTTCTCTGGTAACTCACAAATCCCTTCCTGACACACCTGCTGACATGCCTCGTTAGAAGGAAACTGACGAGGACATCTAGGTCATGGCCCTGCTTCCAGGACAGTCTCCGAACATCCCAGAGGGAGAAGGTCCTGCTTCCAAATTTCCAGAAAGTACTTAGCAGCCTCTGTAACCAAAAGCACATGGCATCTTCACTTAGATTCTTCTTAAAGGCCACACCTGTCCTCCCCAGTCACTGTCTAAGGCGCAGGGGACAAGAACAACTAATCTAGGACCCAAAGTGAGCAAGGATTCACCTCAGGACCTGGAGGGATCCCCAAAGGTCCCATATGTCTCAAAAAAGCCCCCACAACAGTTTTCAATCTCCTTTTCTTTCTTTTTTTTTTTGTGAGGAAGATTCACCCTGAGCTAACATCTGTGCCAATCTTCCTCTACTTTGTATGGGGGATGCCTCCACAGCATGGCTGACGAGTGGAGTAGGTGTGCACCTGGGATCAGACCCTGCGAACCCCAGGCCGCCGAGTGGAGTGCATGGAACTTTAACCACTCGGCCACAGGGCTGGACCCTCATTCTCCTTTCCTTAGATTCCATCAAGTTAAGAATTGTAATGTACCCATTTCTTTCATTGAAAGGCACATACTTTCCACTTTCTGATGACATAGGCTTTCAATTTTGGTCTGAGACATGTCTGCAAACAAGAGGCCTGACAGCGACTGCCATAGGCTTTGTCCAGGAGCCTCACATAGGTCTCACTTACGCACCACAGAATTATAGACATGATGGTGAGCATTCGGATATTCCGGGTTCGGATCAGATCAAGAATGCTGTGGGACTGCTGCTTCTTGGAACTTAGGTCTTGTAGCTGCAGGAATGATATGACAAGGGTATGGGAGGGAGAGAAGATCAGAGACTCAGACATCCAATAACATACCCGAAACCCTGGCATCTTAACTTTCTGCAGCTCCACGTTGGGGAGCTTTCTGTTTGTTTCTTGAAAAGAAAAGTAAATACAGTGACTGTATCTTGGGCTGCGGAGGCTTCCCCAGACCTTGTGGATAACAAATTACTGAACGAAAAGTAGGTGACCAGTCCCTCAGGGGATGCAGCCAAGGCGGAGGCTCAGGCTGACAACTCCCTCACGGCACCACTCTCAGCCTTGGTCAGTGGCCAAGTTCCAGGGAGGCCTCTGAGCATTTCTTCCTAAGGCTGGCTCCCTGCCCTCTGGGTCAGAGAGAGAAACTGGCTGTGTAATTTACTCATGTGATATTTTAAAAGAAGTAATGTTTTGAGTCCTCATACCATGCAGTTACTGGTCTACTTCCAAGGAAAAAAATTTCAGATAGAAAAACAGGAAAATTGACCTCAGGTTCACCCAGAGAAACTTCCTATGAAATTCGGCACAGCCAAAGACATTAATAAACCACACGTCTAAACACACTGATGTTGCTTTCTTAAGCAGACCCAGCTTTGGAGTTTGTTTTTCCTGAGTTAACAGTTCAACAAAAGGTCAACTTTTAACTTAATGGATCCCCTGAAATAGCCTCATTTCCTCAAAGATGCCAGTAGGGCTTATGGGTTCACTCCGACTGACCCCTCCCTGAAAAGCCATCAAAGCTACCTCACTTAAAAGCCCCCCCTGCTATCTACTCCCGCTCTGAGCCTTTCCAGTATGTGCTGAGTGGGAGTTATTGCTGGGCCACCGCTTAACTGTGAGGCCAGCAGGGCTGTCCATGCCCAGAGGCTTCTTTGCTGCTTATAATAAGCAGTGTCTCTTTTCCAAGCCCAAGTCTGCATCTCGAGTCCTGAGCACCTCTAACATGCCTTCCGCGCACACTTCAGCAGGACTGCTGGTGGCTGTTCTCACAGCCAGTTCCTTGTCTTCCCGTCAGATCAGAGACACAGTCCAGAACCCCATCAGCCAGCAATTACAACTTTTAACCTCTTCTTGTAGTCACGGGACTGAGGAAAACTGCCTGCTGCAGAGCGTGGAAGGAGAGGGAACAGGAAGGAGAAACAAGACCTAGGAATCAGGCAGAGCCAGGAAATTACTCATGGCTGTGAGAACAGGGTTTGCAGCGAGGGGTGGGGAAGGGGGAAGGGCGGATATCCAAAAGGACCTAGCTCTAAGATGACAGGCGACAACTAACCCTCATGGGGCAGAAGGAGAATGAACACTTCTCACTCCAAATCTATTTTTGCTTCATATTTTATTTAATGCATTATTTTTTTAAGATGAAACACTACCTAAGGTATAAGAAACAATGATGCCCCAAAATGCCAACTTTGTGAAAGGCCTATTACTCATAAAGAGTGTTTATTATTAAAAGTAATGGTTAAACTATATAATTGCCTAGAAAAGAAGTATGCAAAGTATGAAAACCTAAAATCCGTGGGAAAGCTGAAGAGATCTAGGCAGGTGGCACCTTCTCAACTTCTGAATTGTAACAGGGCCTGCCTTGGGGGAAGCTGCAGCTTGGGCAGCGAGAGGGCTGGGCCCCTGTGTGAAGGGAAGGCTTCAGGGCCATGTGGTGCTGCCCTAAAATCATGGTCACTGAGACTCTCCCACCAGCTCCCACATACTGTTTACCTCACTTGGGTCGAAGATGGTTGACGGTGCAACAATCCCATTGATTCTGGCAGCCCTGTGGATGATCACCTCTGCCTCTTTAAATCGTCCCTGAGAGATGAGCCATCGGGGGGACTCAGGGATGAACCTGGAAGTACAAGGAGGAATCTCACAGAGGCCTCCCTGTCCAACAGCTGCCCAGTAGACCACACGTAGCGCAGGTGGAAGTGGGATATGGGGTTTCATACCAGAGCTAGGTTTGGGGAATGTTTGGTGTTTCTAAGCCAGAAGCAAAGAGATGGTCCATACCACACCCAGTAATGATCTAAAATGTGAGCTTTTGAGTACAATGAAGTACACAAAATTTGGAGGGGCCTGTCCACCAGGATGGGATTGCTCCACTGACTGGCCGCCTCCAATTCTGAACAGCAAGAGTGGTGGTTCCACCTGCTGGGCACCAAGGAGAGCGGAGCAAGATGGGCTCCGAAGCCTGGCTTTGGTGGTGGGCTCAGCCCAGCCCAGACTCTGGCCCTGCTGTACTCCCCTACTCGTCCCCAGCATCCACAGAAGCTTCTGCACTGGCCTCTTGGCCTCTACTTTCTCCTCACTTCTCCACCCCTGATTCATCCAGTTGACTTGCCAGACTCTCTATCTATGTTATCAAGGCACCTAGGTACTTTCATACTTTGTGGATCTGCCTCATCGGCCAGCCCCTGCCCTTCGGTCATGATCAGGGCCCATGCTGTGCTCTGTATCCTCTCCATCTAAGCTCTGAAATGCTCTCAGTTCCACATGGGCCAGTGATCTCATTCTTCCAACCTGCAAGAGGCGATTCCTCCCTCAGCCCCTCTGCTGTGTTCCCGCTCTTGGTATGGAATGACCTCCTCTCTACCTGTCCAACTCTTCTATCTTGGAGTTTCAGATGGAGCCTGGCTTCCTCCATGCAGCCACCCTGAGGACTCTCACTTTCAGTGTTCTCCCTCTTCATCCAGTGCCCATGGCACAAGGCCTTGGCAACATACAGCCAGAACCACGTCCTGTCTTGTCCTGCAGTCTGATGACTTCCTGGAGGTCATGCTGGACCCTAT